GAGAGGGGGACGGCGAACATCTGGATGCCCTCGATCGGCTCATCCGGTCTCATGTCGAATAGGCGCCGCTGCCGAGCCATCAGCGGCAGCACCCTCCGGCGGTGGAAGGCAGCGACGACCACAGCCGCCGTAAGGCCATGGTTCCACAGCTTCTCTAGGCCCTCTAGGAGCGGTTGCAGCTTGGGCTGATCCTCCCTCAGAACGCCATACCTCCACTTCTCCGGACAGTCCTCCACGATCCGCCCGGTATAGGGGGGAAGTCCACTGTCATCGTTGCGGAGGTAGAACCAGCTGGTGTACCAGTGGCGATTGGTTGACGCGAGCTGGGCCGGGATGTAAAGGTGTTGTCGGTCTTGGCACACCTGGAGAGTGCAGCCGCCGGCCCTCATCGTCTTCCTCATACCTGTCGTGCCCGTTGGCTTGGTGGTATGCCCTGCCCGGAAGAGATGGAGCCACAGCTCCCAATGGGGGGCAATGCCCAAGTACCCCTCGCAGATAGTGACAAAGATGGCCGCCTGCACGATGGAGTTGGGGTTGAAGTTGTGCAGCTCCACGCCGTAGTAATGCGGGAGCGCCCGCATGAATCGGTCCACCGGTAGGCCGAGACCACGCTCGTGGAAAGACACGAAGCTCACGACGTACCCTTCGCGTGGCCTCGGCTCCGGCTCGCCCGACGGAGCAATCCACTCCGGCCTATCGGGGTCAGTGATCGGGCGGAGAAGGCCGTTGTCGACGAGCGACCGTAGCATCTCCACAGACACGTCAGACGGATCCCAAGGATCCGCCGGGAGGATGACAGGGCCGCCGGCCATTGCGCGGTGGAGGATGCTGCTACAGCGGTAAATATCTCTCTCTCTCTCCCTCGCCCTTCTCCCTTCTTCTCCCCGGTGCTCTCTGATCCTAGCAACGGCTCGAGGGCAGCAAAAGCGAATGCAGGCAAGGTAAGGAGGGGAGGGGCGAGGCTTGTTGCGTATTTATGCAGGAAGGGGACGAAACGGATGGGCGACGAAATCGGGGAAGTTTCCCTCAAAACCGGCACAGTTAAACCAGATCTGATTTAACAGCCCACGCGCCCACCTTTTCCTCATTAATCGCACGAACAGTTATGTCTCGTCCGCTGACACCACATCGCATCCAACCGCAGCAACAGCAGGGCCCGAGAAACCACCTCAAAAGGCACGCCCACCGTTGTCAGCCGATGGGAGGGGAATATCCCCCCACCCGATTCCTTTTAGACTATGGAACTGGGCGTCGAGCCCGTTACGGTCCAGGGGTTCAAAGGCTGGGCCCCCGAGGGTCTCGACAGTCGCCCTAGGACAACAGAGTTAGGGACAACTATGGGCGAGCCCGTACATGGCCGAGGCCTGAGCAAGCGATCGCTCGGGATGCCCTAAGTCATGTCCGAGACTGGCAGGGAGGTCTCCGAATGGGATCCCACCGTAGGGAGGCACCTTGCCCCCAGGGCCAATCGAACGGCCCTGGGACCCACTAGAGAAGCCCTCTAGTACTTTTGGAGTACGTCTCTAGACCACTAGCCGACCCCTATCGAATGGGGCACGGGCCTCCACTCGGACTTTCTCGATAACAGCTCACCGGAAGTGTCACCGCTCGCACCCACCGAGGGTAGCCTGACATATTCCACCCCTCCTTCTGAACGAAAAGGATGCGCGAGGGTCGCACAAAAAGCCAGGGGAACTCCTGATCGCCCTCTTGCTGCGTGCAGAGGCTTGGGGGCTCTTCCTGCAACCTTGCCGAGACCCAGCGACCCAGGCTCGCACTCGAGGGCTTGGCAAACAACCCCTCCTTCTGAATGAAAATGATGCGCGAGGGTCGCACAAAAAGCCAGGGGAACTCCTGATCGCCCTCTCGCTCTATGCAGAGGCTCGGGGGCTCTTCCTGCAACCTTGCCGAGACCCAGCGACCCAGGCTCGCACTCGAGGGCTCGGCAAACAACCCCTCCTTCCGAACTAAAAGGATGCGCGAGGGTCACATAAAAAGCTAGAGGAACTCCTGACCGCCCTCTCGCTCCGTGTGGAGGCTTGGGGGCTCTTCCTGCACCCAGAATGAAAGCAACCCATGCTCGCACTCGGAGGCTCAGAAAAACGCGATAAAAAGGGCACCGAGCCCGTTACGATCCAGGGGTTCGAAGGCTGGGCCCCCCAAAGGTTTTGACAGCCACCCTAGGACAAACAGAGTCAGGGATGACTGTGGGCAAGCCCGTACATGGCCAATGCCTAAGCAAGCAAGTGCTTGGGAAGCCCTAAGTCATGTCCAAGACCGGCAGGGAGGTCTCCGAATGGGATCCCACCGTAGGGAGGCATCGAGCCCCCGGGGCCTATCGAACGGCCCTGGGACCCACTAGAGAAGCCCTTTGGTACTTTTGGAGTGTGTCTCTGGACCGCTAGCCGACCCCTATCGAATGGGGCATGGGCCTCCACTTGGACTAACCCGATAACAGCTCACCGGAGATGTCACTGCTCGCGCCCACCGAGGGTAGCTTGGCATGCTCCACCCCTCCTTCCGAGCGAAAAGGATGCGCGAGGGCCGCCAAAAAAGACAGGGAAACCACTGATCGCCCTCTCGCTCCATGCAGAGGCTCGGGGGCTCTTCCTGCAACTAAGCCAAGGCCCAGCGACCTGAACTCGCACTCATGGGCCCGGCAAACGTGATAAAACTCCTTACTCAACAGAGAAAAAGCCCCTGGAGGTGTAAATCCACTCCTCCAGGGCCTCGGGGGCTACACCTGGCGGGTGCGCTCGTGCGCACCCACTGGAACCACGAGTACAAAACACAATCCCGACGGGAGCCGCTGCAAGCCAGAATCTAGATAAAGCCTCAGGGAGAGTACTCGCACTCTCCCCAAGGCTCGGGGGCTATTGTCGGATACCATAAAAAGGGGTACCATAAGCAAGAACCGAAAAGATTCCTTAAGCCTTGCTTATATCAATGCCAAAGGACAACCACGAGGTCTCGGCTGATTCTCCGATTCGCCCGAGGCCCGCACCACAAAGGCATCGGATGAAAGGCCGACTCTCCGCCTCGCCGAGGCCCTCTCGCCGAGGCCCTCTAACCCGAGACCCCGCCCCGCTAGGCCTCGGATGGGTTACCGATTCTCCGACTCGCTCGAGGCCGGCTCAGCAACAACCTCGTCGCCTCCGTCTCGATCGACTTCTCTGACAAAACGACACGCGTCCAACCACTCCCACAACATCAGTCGCACGTCGGCGCAGTACAGCGGAGTGGCCGACGGGACGGGAGACAGGACTGGGCAGGGTTTACCGGCCACTGTGCTCGGCACTGTGCCCATAACTGACGCTCGTACCGCACTGTGCTACCTAATTCCTGCTCCAGGAACAGCGTGGCGTGGGGGAGTCAAGTCCGGGTCACTATAGCCTCGGAATCAGTGTATAGGACCAACTGCTCCCTCCAAGCCTCGGCAATCCACTTCAGGGTCTCGGCAGCCTCGGGATTCACGCCCACCGAGCCCCCCACGATGGCTCGGCCTCGGCACCAACTGAGCCTCGGTTTTTTGCACTGTGAACGTACAGCGACCGGCACGTCGTCGGCCATGCCCTGCGCCAAGCTATCACTGGAGCTCCCACGTCGCACAAGATCTGGTGTGTCCGGCGCGCTGCTCCAGTGCATCAAGGACAAGACCGCTCCGTTGACCATGCTGCCACAGTAATAAGCTACAGGGCTCAGACACGCCACCTCCGCTTACAAGACACTGCATAGCAAACACATGTATCACCCCTGTCCCCCCTTCAACTATAAAAGGAGAGACCGGGGCCGTTTCTAGAGACAAAAAGAAAGATAGATGAACACTCGCATAGGCTCACGTAGATTCAGACACACGCTCCCCTGTTGCCTGAGAGCAACGTCTCAAGCATCCCACACCGCTCCACGCAGAGACCTGGGACTAGTTCCCTCTCTCGCCCAGCTTGTAACCCCCTACTACAAGCATTTCGGTGCAAGGAATACAAGATCGATCTCTCAGACTGGACGTAGGGCACCGATTGCCTGAACCAGTATAAATCTTGTGTCTCTTTGCATCACCATCCGGGATTAGGGACACGCAGTTCAAATTCACTAGTTGGTTGAGGACCCCCCGGTCCAAAACACCGACATATGTCAAACCTGAAAATATTTACATGCCATTGCTATTTTGCAACTTTTTCCCGAACATGTCAGTGCCAATGTTGCTTGACACCAAATATCCTCTTCTCAGCTATACCGGTTGAGAATATGCAGCCATTATTATCACTGTTTGTGTTTTATGCTCTTTTTTCCCTGGGGCATCTTCGTATGTTTTCGTGGATATTGCTTTCTACACTTCGGCTGCGGTTGTCGTGAGCTCAGGGTGGCACAGTTTCAGCCGCCAAACAGGCTCTAAGCCTCCTAAGAGCACACATAGTCTTAAACATTTGATTTGATACATTTATGTCTTAATTCGATGAACCTCAAATTTGAATTGGTACTCAAATGGTATATGTTGCTATGTTCCGGCTTCAGAGATACAGGTACAACTACCCCTCAGGTTGTCTTTCTGTTTACGGCTGTGCCGAGACTATAAATTAGCATTTATCTAGATGTTTGAGTTGCTTTATAGAATAGTTTTCTCATTGATATATTTGTCTACAGATAGAGTACCTTTTATACCTCAGGTTTGTAGCAGGAAGGTAGCATGCTCTTCTGCATTATGAAACAATTATATTAAATTTTATTAACAGTAATCTACTTGACTAGATAAATGGATGAGTGTCTCGCTGTCTCCTTCCAAGGTGACTTCGATAATGAGATTTAAAATGTTGACCTATTTATACATTTTTGCCATGATCCTTAATATGTGCTGTATTATTGGTCTATTTTTTCAGTTAAATGTTGAGCCGCTGGGTGCATCATGTCATGCATGCCATATTTTTGTGATATTCTTTACGCACCAGACTGTTGTAAATGCCTATCTTCCAATTAATGGCAGAAATCTATCATCTAGTTGACCAATGGGCTTAGTAAGAATGGACTACGGAAATCCAAAGAATGAGAGTCTTGTTATTTATATTTGCTACCTATAATAGAGGAAGATCTTATGGTATACGTGCTCACTAATCAACTCTCGTTTTGTGCAGACTGTGCCAGTTAACCCAAAACCTTTCCTGAACAACCTGACAGGGAAGCCTGTTATTGTCAGACTCAAGTGGGGTATGGAGTACAAAGGTAATATCTCCTTTTTTTATTCAGTTTGAACCGGAACATTTTATTTTCCAGATACTGCCCCTGCTCTTAATCAAACTGAAAAACTTTTATTATACATTCCCAGGTTATCTTGCTTCGGTGGACTCCTATATGAATCTCTAGGTACTAATTTGACAGTTTGGCTGTCATACTATTAGAGTGGTCGTCTATTGAATACTTTTTAGATGAATAGCTAATCATCAATTGGGTCTAAATGACATACAGAATTCATTACTGCCTTTTTTCCCTACTGTGTGCAGCTTGCCAACACTGAGGACTGCATTGATGGGCAATTCTCTGGAAACCTGGGAGAGATTCTAATCAGGTAATGTTTCTTGTTTCTTTCTTTCTAGCTTATGTCAAGTAGTAGTGTTTTGTAATAAATCTAGATATAGAACTGGGAAAAGCTTGCATACATCCTGTCATCCTGCTGCCCTATTCCAACTTCCGATACTTGGAAAGTACTATGCTGGTGTTGATCAAGTTACATGTTAAGGAAGGCCAGAGCTTCTTCAAAACTTAAATTGGTGTGAACTGGATCTTCGATCGATAGTATCTGATCAAACTAGGCCCTGTTGCATTGCGTAATCATTTGGCCCCTGTATGATTCAGTTTTATGTTTCTACATCTACATACAGGTGCAACAACGTTCTGTATCTCCTAGCCGTTCCAGAGGATGCAGAGATAGAGGATGCAGAGTGAGAAGATGCGATCCATGTTAGATTGATAAATGTAATATGATTCTGACATGTATGTTTGAATATGCCATTGACAACTACACCTACCGGATCCGAGCTTATGATCTTTTGAGTGATGAAACATGATGACAGTAGGGCTTGAGGTGTTGTTCAAACTGCTTTCAGTTAGACAATGTTGTCATTCAACTGAATGTGAGGGGTATCAGATTTCTTGAACAACTCTTACCTCATTGCCTACCACCACAGATTATCTAAATGTGAAGTATGATGAGGCTCAAGATATGCTAGTTATTGTGCTCCGATCTTTCGTTTTTTTTTTACCTGACATATCTACATTTGACTTCTAATATTGTTTTCATACAAAGATTAAACATATTTTTCCCCTGCGCCTTAACCAGTTGATTTGTCAGCTCGCGCGATGGCGCGCGTGATGGACTAGTTGAAAGAAAGGGGGGGACAAAAGAACACTGACAAGAACAAAAGAACACTGAGCCCACTAGAAACTGTTTGGAGACATTGCTCGACTGTACACCGCTACTGCTTTCTTAATTGAAAAGGCTATGTCCAAAGGTTACTCTGGTATTACCCTAAAAAAAAGGTTGCTTTGGTAAATGATGAAAGGTCCTTCTGTTGCGGTCATTCCAACTATTCCACCAGAAATAAGCGATTATGAGCCATCGAAGTCCCCGCGTCTTGTCTTGTCGATCTTTAATATAATCTCGCCTTTCCCCACCACTTGCACTTTAGAAAGTTATACTATCCATTACTTTGTAAAATATCCATGCCCAATGTAGAGTACGGGGGTTATAGCGCTGGCATATAGTAATAGCAAATTTGCCAAATAAAAAGTATAAGGTAAAAAGAACTAGGCAAACTGAATATATAGTGAGCATACATTCTGAAGTACTAATTTGTTCAGTGTTGACCGTGACAAAGCATGGAAGGTACGTGTATGTAACGTGTTCCTCCGCAGTGAGACGCCTATGATCACTTTAATTATCAATCTCCTCTAGAATAGTCGATCAGTCTCACATATAGATTAATTGTATGTGAGCATTTGTATTATGTTTAAAAATTAAAGAACAAAGCCGGTAATAGTTTGCAAACAACGAGAACTCGTCCAGAATGAATATGAACAATAGCAATGCGCGTGCATTTTGATGCAAATGTGACGTTCTGAACTGAACTGTGTTTTGAGTGACGACGAGGCGACATCATGGCGTGCGTCGTGACGATGAGCCGCCCCAGAAAATGGCTGTTCTATGGCGGCAACATGAGTCGTATACTCGTATGGGAGGTCGACACGCGAGCGAGCGAGGACGAACAGTAAGGTCTCTGATCGAGCCTGTGCAGCGGTTGAATGAAGTGGTCGATATATATGTTGACATCTTCAGAGAGATCGAGTGACTGTAGGCGACAGATAAGATTATATATATTGTTTACTATATTTGATTTGTCCTGCATATTATATATGTATGTTTCTCCGAGGGACAGACAACTAACAATCAACAGCCAAGCAAGAAGCTAATTAAGAGAGAAGCCAGCCTTGGTAGTACGTAGTCTAGCTAGTACTAATCTTTGCGTCCCTGGCAACGTGCTAACGACTAACGTTGTTACTCTAGTAGATCGGCGGTGCTAGCGCTCGGATGTTCGGACGGACGTCCGTGTCCGGATGCCCGCGCGATGCACTCTGTTTCACGTGCTCCACGCGGGGTCCGCACCGCCCGAGCGACAAGAGGGGAAGGAAGCGGCGCCTCCGATTCGGAAGGAACCGGCCGCGGCGTCGTATGGATGCCTGCCGGCGCCGGGAGGAGGACACACCGAGACGATGCAGTAGAAGGCGAGGAGGAGAGATGCAACACCCGGTCTGCTTTTCAAACATCCAAATACAACAGTTGCAACATACTTCTGAAGGCAGATGAAACACTTAAAACGTGCTTCTGAAACACTTAAAAAAACACTTGAAAACACTTAAAAACCATTGCAACCATACGCAAACATCCAGATAAAACACATGCAACGTATGTCTGAAACATATACAACATCCAGATAAACACACTTGCAACATGCGCCCGGAAAATACAGATGAAAGATTGGTAACAAACCTTTGCAACATACGTGTATAACCATTGCAATATATGCAACATCCCGATCTACTTTTGCAACATCCATCTGAAACACTTAGAACATACCTCTGTAACATCTGAAACACTTGAAACATACGCTTTCAGCAAAAAATGGCAGTCAGGCGGGCGGAGCACGGCACAGCGAGATCCCGGTTGTGCGGTCGCGGTGGAGGAGGAGGATGGCAGCGGGCGGGCGGCTATGCGTCCCCCGGCGATAGGGCGCATGCAGTGCCCAGCGGGATCCTAAGCTAAAAAAATACTGTTCGCTGATTTGTTGTGAAAAAAAATTGCAATGTACCATAACTGATAGATCATGGCCGATAAATTCAAGTGAACAATAGCTACTACAGTGGACCAGATCGGAGGCCAGCATGGCGTGACCCCCGAAAGGAAAAAGTGTTTGTTCCTGTTCCTGTATATATGCAATGCAACTCATCAACTAAAATAAAGGTGAACATACATGCACATATACATACGGATCTCGGTTGCCCGGGTCGGTCGGTTCCAAACAATGCAACGTGACGCAATGCATGGAAAAGAGATGTGTGCTTGACACTAATTTGCAAAAGGTATAACCGGCCGGCCGGGCTAAGTAGGTAGCGTGTTACTGTTGCGTCACATGCTGGCGCCGTGCGTACCTGCACAAGTCGTCACAGCGGCGAATTATTAAGCGAGGTGTAATTTTCATTTATTTCCCGTACGTGCAGCTAGCTAGCCTTGCATTGCTTGCTTGCCAACCATATAATATGGGCGCGTTTAGTTCCGGTCAAAGTTGACGTCGTTGGATTTCCAGCTGCATTGTATGATCTTGTTTGTATTTGGTAATAATTATTCAAATATTGACTAATTAGCCTTAAAACGTTCGTCTCGCAAAGTACAATCAAACTGTGCAGTTAGTTTTTTATTTCGTCTACATTTAGTACTTCATGCATGTACCGCAAGTTTGATGTGATGGGAAATCTTCTTTTTGCATAGTGCCAAATTCAGAAAATTGGGGAAACTAAACATGGCCTATATTATATAAAGAGAATCGACAGGCTTTTAGCGTTGGACGCAATGTAATTCATCAGCAACAAGCAGCAGTAAGTACGGCTCCATGCTTTTTGACTTGTTGCATTATATATTGTGATATTGTTAATATAACACATCTGCTAATATATATATATATATATATATATAGATAGATAGATAGATAGATAGATAGATAGATAGATATAGACACACACACATCCATCCTGTGCTTTATTTGACGATGCTGTTGCTTGCCTTGCCTATATAAATAACGCTTAGCTTGCTTTGCTTTCTTCCACACACAGGCACAGTTACATCAAAAGATCAGAGCCTATTCAGTTCCCATCGATAGCTTGCGTTGTATGTGCCATATAGATAGATATACCCATCGTCACCTTTGCATATTATTATTGTGATCTATCGATCCATAGCTTTACTAGTATAGATTTCTTTGTGGATCGATCGATAATAATAATAAGATAGATGGGGAAGCTGACGTTGGGGCACCGCGGCGAGGCGTCGGAGCCGGACTTCTTGCGGGGCGTCCTCGGCGAGCTCGTCCTCACCTTCCTCTTCGTCTTCATCGGCGTCGGAGCCGCCATGACCGCCCACGGTATGTATGCACGCACGCATTTATATTCCGTGCATGATGGATCCCGCCCAATCAACTAGCAGCTGGAGTGGAGTAGCTCCGATCCCTCCATCTCCTTAATGTTTTTTTCTCCAAATTGTGAATGCAACGAAGATGGCGGCCGGCGTGGTTCCTTTTTTTTTTAATTTTCGAACGGCGTCTGTATAGTTCAGTAGTAACTGATCGATGAAAAATAATTAGAGTAGTAACTGCATCCGCGCCCAGTAAATTGAATTCAGTCAACAATTAACGAGAGAGAGAGATCTCCAATAGTATAATCAAATGATACTGCTGTAGACGTCTCAAATTAACTGCCTGCAGGAGCTGCATCACATGGATGCAATGTACACATCATCGTCTACAGGACACGGGAGTGTGTACTGGTAGATTGCGCGTTGGCCTTTATTATTATTTTATTTCTAGAGGAGAGCAGAGGTTTTAACAGCGGCACAGTGAAGCTGAATCCGCTAGCCGTTTACTGTTGTTTAGCTCCATCCATCAATTGCCCTTTAATTCCATTTATTTAAGTATTTACTTTACTTACTGCGTATACCTACCCGGCCTACACACAAAGAATCTAATTAAACACGTCTCTATCACGTACTACAAGTACAAGTACGTACTCTCTCTGTTTACATGTTATTATTTGTTTTATAGTAACTCAAACATTTCTAATTTTGATCATCCATTTCAAAAAATATATATACATACTAATAACATATATAAGATCTATGTGTTAGATTTACTATGACAAATACTTTCATACTCTCTCTGTTCCAAATTATAAGTCACTTTGACTTTTTAGTACATCTATTTTGCTATGCATTAAGATATAATAATATGTCTAGATGTATAACAAAATAGATTAACCAAAAAAGTTAAAGCGACTTATAATTTGGAATAGATGGAATAATATATAATTTATATGTTGTGAAATGACAACAATTTTTAAAGGTTAATAGTCAAAGATATAAGTATTTGATTTATGACAAATAAATCTACTATGAAATGTAAAAAAGAACTGAGAGGATACACACGTCCGCTTGGGAATATACACGGCTTTCCCGACCGGATATTTGCAGTAGCAAGCAACAAGCAAAACCCACTGTTCAGAAAGGTATGTTCTGGCATCTCTGACCCGGTCTGGATTTCTATGAATATTACCATTTCAGTACTGACGTACAGTATGTTTGTGCGGCACAAAAACTTTGTTCCAAATTGTTGATCGCTACTCCCTTCATCTCATAGTAAAAGTTGTTATGTGATACGCGCAGGTCAAACTTTCTAAATTTTAACTAGGTTGGTAGAAAATGCGTGCAACATTTATATCTCTAAATAAGTTTATTATGAAAATATATTCAACGATCTATCTAATGATAATAATTACGTATTATAAATATTAATGCTCTTTAATTTTGGTCAAAGTTTAAAAAAAGCTGACTTCTCGAGAAGCGAGAACGACTTCTATTTTAAGACAGAGGAAGTATACGGTATTCCAAGAAATCATTATATACATTCTTGTATTAGCTATAACTTTTCCTATATGTTTATATTCACTATTTGCTCGGGGCATGTTTAGACCCTGTTTATTAGGGCTCCTTCAGAGGAGCGGGAGCCGTTTTGGAGAAGGCCTCCTTAAAACAGTTTCGGCTCCTTTTTTTAACTGAAAACGGTTTCAAACGACTTCTACTAAATCGTTTGGTAGGGCTCCTTCGCAGGAGTCAGAGTTGGAGCCAGAGAAGAGCCCTACTAAACGGACCTTAGTTCTCTCCTGAAATAGTCCAATTTTCAATTCACAAACGTAAAAACAAAGAAAACACAAACATCCCAACAATTTTGATGTAGATGTTCTTTATGCCTATCTCCATCAACTATAGTACTAGCTAATTCAAAGTGTCATGGGTTGCAAATTTTGGGCCAATCACTGCAGGCCCCCAAAGCCCGCGGGAGGTGCTCTCTCTCTCTCTCGCCCTCTCCTTAGAACGTCCAAAGCTGAATGGAAAGGCAATCTATAAACCACACTTCTCCTATATCTTAGGTTCTTTATTTTTGTTGTTTTTCGAGCAACATGCAATTTTATTATGTTTGGGTAGGAAAACTGTGAACCGTCTATTGTGAGTTGTAATTTTAAATATAGTAACATACTAAATAATTGTGTGTAATAATGTAAGATTGTTGCCTGAAAATTTAGGCACGTTAAATATAGCAACTCCCTAAGTACACCTATTCATGGCCACCCCAACCAACCAACCTGACCGACCCATCTCGCCTGGAAAAATCAAATCCGTGTGGGGAAGTTTGGGTCATGATTTTCGACCTGTGGCCGACCCAACCCAAGTAACCTGAAAAAGGGGAAAACCCCAAGAAATGGTCAGACCCGACACAATGCACTGAGACCAAATAATTTGACTCAACCATTTTTCCTGCTCGGCCTGAACCTAGCCAGACCCAACGTTTGATCCGGTCTATCCATAAGTATTGTGGACATATCAATCCATAAAAACGATAGCTAATAGTTGTGGATTCCAGATCAAACTTGAACGCTTACATTCACTACTGAGGGCTTGTTTGGATGCATTTATATCTACCTCAATTTATGTGTACTGAAGTGGATTAATGTGGTGTAAGTGCATCCGAACAAGCTCTAACACATATTTAGATGAAATACATGGATGTGATAGCACCCAAACTTGACCGGTTGGCCCCCATGTGTACTAGTGCCGCACTGCCATCGTACTTCCCAAGTGTGTTTTGTCTGACAATGGATCGATCGCCAGTTTTAATTGTATGCATGATGCACATGCAAAACTACCGACGTCGACCAAATCAATCGCCGATCGGAAGAACTGTACACGTGCAGAGCAACTGATGGATCCGCTGCATGCATGCATGTGCTTTAATTACCTGTTGTACCGCCGTTCATTAGTTGCTGGATGGTCCAATCCATAATACGTACGTGCATCATGCGTGTGATACAGGAGGGATGACGAAGGGTAGCAATGCCGGAGGCGACCTGACGGCGGTGGCGCTGGGACAGGCGCTGGTGGTGTCAGTGATCGCGACGGCGGGGTTCCACATCTCCGGCGGCCACGTCAACCCGGCCGTGACGCTGTCGCTGGCCGTCGGCGGCCACATCACGCTGTTTCGTTCCTCCCTGTACATCGCCGCCCAGATGCTGGGCTCCTCCGCGGCCTGTTTCCTGCTGAGGTGGCTCACCGGCGGCCTGGCCACGCCGGTGCACGCGCTGGCGGAGGGCGTGGGCCCGCTGCAGGGCGTGGTGGCGGAGACCGTCTTCACCTTCAGCCTGCTCTTCGTCATCTACGCCACCATCCTGGACCCGCGGAAGCTGCTCCCGGGCGCCGGCCCGCTGCTCACCGGCCTCCTCGTCGGCGCCAACTCCATTGCCGGCGCCGTCCTGTCCGGCGCGTCCATGAACCCGGCGAGGTCGTTCGGGCCCGCCGTCGCCACGGGCGTCTGGACGCACCACTGGGTGTACTGGGTCGGCCCGCTCGCCGGAGGGCCGCTCGCCGTGCTCGTCTACGAGTGCTGCTTCATGGCGGCCGCTCGCACGCACGAGCTGCTGCCCCAGGACGACCCATGATTAGCATGCATCAAGCATTGGATCGATCGGAGGGTGATTTGTCTTGATTTGAGCTGGCGCCGACGGATTGTGATTGAGACCAATAACCTATTACATGCATGCATGCTGTCTCGGCCGGTCCAGTCTTTTGTGTGTGTGTGCAGTAGTGTGTTCGTGGTATATACAGTGTACGTACGCGATCAAGCTTGGGTTTCTTCTTTGATTTTCCTCATCTTTTCAATTTGTTTGAGATTTGAGAACACTACTGCAAAAACCATTTGTAGCAACACCCCTTTTTTTAGGGGCTACAAATGGTGGTCAAATGAACCGTCCCTACAAATCTATTTGCAGGGATTGCTGGTGTTATGAGCCGTCTCTATAAATAGCCTGATCTATAGGGGCGGCTCAAATAGACGCCGAATAATAAAATTAAGCATTAAAATTTGAATTTTTTTTCAAACTATCTCGGATGGAGAAATGACTAAAATTAAAGTTGTAGATCTCGAAAAGTTATGAAACTTTGCTATTTATATTTTTTCATTTGAAATAACTTACTGTTTCAAAATGCTGTTTGAAATTCAATTTTGAAATGGTCGAAAAACTCTGATATCTCTTTTTAATCTTTAGTTAAAACTTATAATTAGTCTTTCTCCCTCATACTAACTTCAAATTTGATGATTTTTTTCTAAAAATTTCTAAAATCATGCTTTATCAATTTATTGTATTCTTACGGCTATTATTTTATCCATCTTTTCATGTGACTGTGTTTTATCTATTTGAATTTTGAATTTCAAAAAATAGCAACTTCAAACGTTATTTTGAAACATTAAATGATTTCAGCTGAAAAAGTCATGAACTACAAAGTTGTAGAGTTCATCAAGATCTACAACTTTTATTTTGGTCATTTCTTCATATGACAAAGTGGTAGTAACATTATTTACAAAATGTACATATCTCTCTTATAGATATGTATATTTTGTAAATAATGTTACTACCACTATGTTGGATGAATAAATAATCAAATGACCAAAACAAAAGTTGTAGATCTCGAAAAGTTATAGAACTTTGTAGTTGACAACTTTTTCATTCGAATTCATTTTATCAAGGAAAACTATGTTTGAATTTCTTAAATTTGAAATTTGGATTTTTTCAAACGACTTTGGATGGAGAAACAACCAAAATAAAAGTTGTAGATCTCAAAAAGTTATGAAACTTTGTAGTTGACAACTTTTTGATTTGCAATCATCTCGTCAACGAAAACTACATTTGAATTTTCAAAATTTTGAAATTTGATTTTTTTAAAATGACCTCCATGGACAAATAGAAAAAACAAAAGTTGTAGATCTCGAAAAGTTATGAAACTTTATAGTTGACCACTTTTTGATTTGAAATCATCTTGCCATGGAAAGTTACGTTTGAATTTCTCAAATTTAAAATTTAAATTTTTAAACGACCTCGGATGGAGATACTACCAAAATAAAAGTTGTAGATCTCGAAAAGTTATGAAACTTTGTAGTTAACAACTTTTTTATTTAAATTCGTTTAAGGCCTCAAAAAATCAATTTATGCTTGTTTTAGGATAATATGTGGGGAAAAATCCAATATAGACACAAGTTATTATTGGGTGGAGTGGTTAGAAGAGGGAACACACGAGCCCGAGGTCATAGGTTTAAACCCCGGCACCGCGTAACGCGTGATTTTACGCGAAAAAATGTGTGACTTGCGTTTTGCGATTGCGCGACGTGTGGCTGCCAGCCGCCCCTACCAATGGGTGGCTACAAATCGTGGATTTGTAGAGGCGGCTGGATATTGAGCTGCCCTTTTCTAGAAATTCGTGAATCCGGTTAAAAAAAAATCCAGCCGCCCCTGTAAATAGTGAGCCGTCCCTAACAATCCGATTTGTGGAGGCGGCAAATTCGTGATTTGTAGCCATCTTTTGGTAAGGGCGGTTGACAAAACCGTTCCTACAAACCATCTGGAGCCACCCCGATTGATCGTTTGTGTAGTAGTGGAAGGCATCTTCTCATGAAACTGCAAATTCGTGTGGGTGTGTAGTAGTGGAAGGCTTCTTCTCATGAAACTGCAAATTCGTGTGGGTCTACGTATGTTCCAGCAATTGGATGTTTGAGCGAACCCAAGCACAGACGTTAATACATGTAGCACTTTTTTTTTGTTTAGCTAGCTAAGATGGACACATATATAGAGCAAATATGGTTTTATACTAGTTAAAAGTGAAAATATGACACATAAGTGCTAACACGTACTTCAGTCATATTTAGCATCTATGGTTACTGGCCTTAGAAACACTTCTCAACCATATTTTAGCGACACTTTTTAGTCCGGTTTCCACTCAAAAAACCGGGCCAGCGTTTGTTCTATTTCTCTTTATCTTTCTCTTTTTAATAAAAATTGTGCCAAAGCTTTTGCTGTCTTGCGAAAAAAACATTTTGACGGAACTGCAGTTAGAGCTGACAGGAGAGAAATATGACCCATAGAGCATGGTAAGCATGCTAATTGATGCAAAAGCACTCTACAAAATCCACACAAAAGGCAGCGTTGTGGTGCTGATGCTCAAATAACCAGAACACTGAATCTCTGTCTTCGTTCTAAGATGCCATTAAAGACTCTTCCTTATAACTAGAATCGCTGGTTTGAGTGGGTTGGGGCATATCATGCGATTGTGAAAGTACCGTTATACTTTGAAATTTTAATTTGGAAGTAGTTCCTATTTTATAACCGTTCGATTTATCCGAATGGATGACTCTTATTTGTTTTTCAAGCGCCGTAAAATTTGTCTAAGAAAAACATGGGATCGGTATGTGGTCAGTACATTTTGCTGCTATATATACGCGTGCAGCAGTTGCATGCATCGACAACGAACTGCGCATTTGCTTGCGCTGCTCAGCCCCACGGCATGCAGGAGATTAATGCAAATATGACATGTGCCTGCTACCATGATCGATCTACGCTGCAGCTTCTTTTTAAGTTTTAATCATTTTGCTGTAACAAAGCTGATCGATCCATGCAGATCAAGGTCTCCTCCATTAATTATATCGATCGATCTTCAGCGCACCCTGCTGCATGCATGTGTCTGTATAAATAATAATAATAATAATTACTATGAGCTAATAGCTCGCTAGTACACAGAAGTAAACCTGAGTGATCATTGCTATTTGCCACGCGCACATTGTCGATGCATGCATAAACACAGAGCACGTTGTACGTTTACGTGCACCCTGGATTCCTCCTCATGGATCGTAGTAGTGCCTGCAGATTGCAGAGGCACAGGGCACCGGCAAATAACAACAACAAGCGAGCGGGCCCCCGGCATACGGCAATGTTTGTTTGGCGGATCCGATCCGATCCGATCCGATCCAGAGGCCGGCGGAAATCTCTCTACACCCTGAATGGACAATGGGGATGGATGATTCAATACAAGGCCTGCACGGCTGGCACCTTCTGATTAATATTAATTAATTCACGATAACGAGATGGATCCTGCGTGCATGGTGTTCTCCAATCACAAGTCCATCGCCCGCCAGCGCCTCTTGCTGCCTGCCCGCGTCGACGACACTGTCGTTTCGCTGCCATCGCCAGCATCACACGGCGATGAAATTAACTCGGCCTGCATCCTGTGCAAGGCATTCAAGCTTCGCAGCCACGCGGAGGGGTTCAGTGCAGTCACCTAATACAAGCTATAGTAGCTGCTGGCAATTAAGTACTCCCTTCATCCCAAATTGTAAGTCATTCCAAGAATATTGACGAGTCAAAGTTTTTCAAGTTTGACCAAATTTATATAACAAAATAATAATATTTATCATACCAAGTAAGTATCATTAGATTCTTCATTAGTTATATTTTCATATTATACCTATTTGATGTCATCAATATTTTTGTTTCTCTCTATAATTTTAGTCAAACTTGAAAAAATTTGACTCTCCAAGATTTTTAGAATGACTTACAATTTGGGATGGAGGGAGTAGCTAGCTTGTGTCTTTGTGTTTCGTCTTCAGAGCCGCACGCTGAACTCAGTGCGTACCAATTTGGCCACTCGATCCATCTGCTGATGCATATATGCCCTAAACATTGTGTGTTGTGGCCGATCTGCATGCCGGAAGCATCAGGGACGGATCGGCCGGAGCTTGAAGAAAACAGAGAGGGTGCCACACTTAGGCTCCCTTTGCATGGTACAGATCCATGCACCTCCGGATCCTCTGGCAAAATCACTGAAGCGACACTATTGAACATTGTTCACGGGAGCTACTTTCCTCTCTCCTCGCCAGAGAAGCCAGAGCTGCTTGGATTTGTATCAAACAAAGGAGGCCTTTGTAACCTCTTGAACCTCTCTTGGACGTTTAGGTCAAAAATCTAATCTAAAAATCTATATCTATACCTAATAATAATGTTACAAAGCGAATGAAGGGATTTTTGTAGACCCAAAATGTGACCATACGCACATCAAAATGCTAGAATGCGTGGATCGCAGATCAATGAACCCTCAGCGAGCTCATATAATAGTAAAACCTTCGAACACCAGCCAGAAGGAAATTCGTAGGGACCATTGCACTTAGAGTTGTTCTAAGATCGACAAGCTATTTAGACCCTGTTTAGATACAACTATAATTATAATAATCAGATTATCTAATCAAACTTTGAACCAAACATGATTTATTACATGATGGATTATTATAAGCAAACCTCTTGATTACCATAATCCCATAATCCAGGTGAGACCATGCTAAAAATCCAACTTGTCTCCAAGCGATTGTCCAACTTGGCAAACTATATAAAGGATAAGATAGGAATTTTTGCTTTAACTAACCATAATCAATCACCATAATCCAGAGACCCAAATACTCTGACTTTTATAATACATAATCCCGATTAAATAATCTAATGCATAATTCAGATTATAATACTCTAGCTATGATTCAAACAGGCCAGCCCTTAGAAGTTAGAATGCCTCAACTCAAGGTAGAGACAACAAAAATAACAGAAATTCTGGTTGGAAAAGTGTTTAGTGTTCACTACTGCATAATTGATTTGTAGCCACCCTCTATTTTTTAGTAGAGACCACCCTATCTAAAATTGTCTTAAAAATGATTTCTGAAACAAGCCGCCTCTAGAAATCTAATTTTTGAGGCGGCTGGATTTAGAGCCACCCATAGAAATCAACTTATAGAGGTGGTTGGATCTAAATCCATCTCTAAAAAATGTGCAGCACGGTCAAATTCATAACTTTTTCAAACGAATACAACTGAAGATAAACTTTATATTTTTAGTTGATGAATTTTCATTTGAATTATTTAGATCTCACAAATTCTGTTGAAGGCATGAAATTCTCACATTTTGAAATTCATTTAAAAAATCAGACAACCTCGAATGGAGAAATAATCAAATCCAAACTTATAGATATCGAAAAACATATATAGAAAATTGTACTTCATAACTCTTTCATTTGAAATAAACTATGATCCCGAAATTCAGTTTGAAGTTCTCATATTATGAAATTCAAGTTTTTCAAATGACCTCGGATGGAGAAACGACAAAAACCAAAGTGATAAATCTCAAAGAGCTAAACACCTTTTCATTTGAAATTATTTATCCAAGAAAAATTCTATTTGAATTACTCACATCTTGAAATTCAAAAGTTTCAACGATCTCTAATAGAGAAATGACCAAAAGCAAAGTTGTAGTACTCGACTATATCTACAACTTTTCGGTTAAAACGACCTTTTTCATTATGTATTCGTTTATAGTCTCAAATATTTATTTCAAAATCTAGTAAAGTGAATACAAAATAAATGTATCTACTCCTTAGTCACATTGACTTTGGGGGTGGGGTGATTATAGGCATGCAAGGGCATAAGTCAAATGTACGAATTCTGCCGACGGCACGTGCGCGTATTTCGGTCCAGAAGTTGACCTCAAAGGCTACTAGATTTAGATAGAGACCGACCATATCTAGTGGTTTTCGGAGAAATAAAAGTAGTAAATCTTGTATGTTTGGAACGATTGAACATGCTCAATAGTGTTGTGTCTAACTGTCTTTTAGTGCCTGATAGTGTCGTGACGGATAGTGGTAGGACCAGACCGGCCATTTGACCATCTATATCATCACCGAGCAGCATGAAGGGTTGTTTGGTTGCTATATATCATAATAATCTTAGCATCATCTCACACGTCAATTTTGAGCACCTAACTAAAGCCGTATATGCCCGCCCGTATGCACCTGCATGGCCCGGCGATCAGGGCGCCATCTGAAAACAGCGCCGAAGAGCGCAACGTACCGGATGGTGCACGGCAACACGCACGGCCGCCCGTGCAACCGGCGGCGGCATCATCGCCGGAGAGATACGCCGGCCGCGACATATATGCCCAATCGTTATTAATACACGAGTGGCAATTATTAACTAATTAATTAGTTGATGATGAAACGACGACAGGTCGGTCCTAATTAACAGCCGCGTTCATCCTACCTGCAAAAGATATGATGATCATTCTCGTAGCTAGCTACTGTAGCATGCATGCATGCATGCATGCAGGTCATCCCTGGCTGATCGTTGAAGAAGGCAGCTGGCAAGGCAATCACCAGGGCCGGGCCGGTACGGTCGATCATCACCCACGGCTCGTGTGCCGCCGCTTCTCCACCCACACCGGCGACAGCACCGGCGTGGGCCCCACGAACTCGGGCTCCTCGGTGTCCTCCACGTCGTCCCTCGCGACGGGGATCGCATGCGCATCGCCGCCGTCGGCCTTCCCTCCCGCCATTAATATCTCCGCTGCCGCCTCGGGGTCGTCATCCTCGCCGTCGTCCCCATCTACCTCCTCGTCGTCGTCCTCCTCCTCCTCCTTCCCCACCACCCGTATCCTCCACACCTTGACGCTCCTGTCCAGCCCGGCGCTGTACACCACCATGCTGCCCTCCACCTCCCCGGCCTCGCCGCCGCCCACGGCCAGGCACCGCACCGGGCCCCGGTGCCCCTCGATCACGGCCAGGCACGTGTGCGCCGCGCCGCCCTTGTTCCCCTCGCGCCTCCACACGCGCATCGTGGCGTCCTCCGACCCACTCACCACCACCCGGCCGCCGCAACCGGAAGCCAGGCAGAACACCGCCAGGCGGTGGCCCTTGAGGTACCCGGCGTGCGCCGGCCGCCCCACCGTGGCCTCCTTCTCCCACACGTTCACGTATCCGTCCGAGGACCCCGCGTAGAGGAAGCACCGCCTTGCGCCGCCGCCGCCTCCCGCCGCGTGGGCGTGGCACAGCGCCAGCGCGTTGACGGGGGACAGCTCGGAGCGGAGCACGATGATGAGCGCGTGCGCCGTGCCGCCGTACACGCGGCGCCACATCTTGACGGTGCCGTCGGCGGATCCCGTGAAGACGCAGCCGTCCGCCTCGTTCACCACCATGGCGTTGACGGGCCCGTCGTGCGCCACGAAGGAGTCGACGCAGGAACCGTCGGAGAGCCGCCACGCCTTCACGGTGTGGTCGTGGGAGCCGGTGTAGAGCAAGCCCGCCACGGCGTGGAGCACGAGGCAGGAGACGGTGTCCCGGTGCTGGTGCTGCCGCCGCTTGGCGAACGGGTTCTGGAGGAGGAGCGACGACTTGGCGGGGAGCGTGGCTGCCTTCTTGGCGCGGACGTGGTCGCACACGGCGGCGGCGCAGACGGTCCAGACCCGGACGCGGTGGTCGCGGGCGTGGGACGTGACGAGCGTGCCCCCGCACGCGGCCAGCGCCGGGACGCGGCCGCGGCCCACGTCGAGGTAGCCGCGGTTGAAGCAGCCGGGCGCCGCCCACGCGCGGACGCGGCCGCTGTCGGACGCCGTGAACAGCACGCCCCGCGCCACGGCCAGCGCGTGCACGTCGCCCTCCAGCCGGTGCAGCGCCGCCAGGCAGTGGTAGATGGCGGCGGGCGACGGCGGGAACCGGAGCCGGCCGTGCAGCGGCGACTGCACCCACGGGGAGCAGCTGCCGGCAGCCTGCATCTGCTGCATGGGCGGCAGCGGCACCTCGACCCCGAGCCCGGGCACCGCCGACGACATGCTCAGGCGCGCGGGCTCCGCCGCCTCCCGCGCCGGCGACCTCCCGCCCCCGCCGGCGCGCGCGTAGTACTGGTGCACGGGCGTGTGCGCGCCCGGCCGCGACGACGACTTGCGGTCCTCCTCGAAGAAGCTGAAGCTCTTGCGCCGGCCGAAATCCATGGCGATTGGCCGGCGAGCAGAGCAACGCAAGGCGGCGCAAGCTACCTACCACTACCACTACCACCCCGGCGCCGTCGATCGGCCGTCGTCGTCCGGGCGTCCGGCTATGAGTATGACTAGGAGCGATGAATTAAAGGAGCGATAGGCACAAGCAGCAAGCACGAGCCAGCCTAGCGTCGTCGTCGCAAGTCAGCAGACGTATAAATTGACATATAGGTGCGGGGCGGGCGACGGAGGAGGAGGTCGATCGACGGGATGTTAGTGCGTGGTACTGGTACCACGGCGGGCGCCATAAACGACTACTCGGCGCGGCGGGGTCGGGGCCCGAGCTCAGTTAATGGCGGCTCAGTCGTCCTACGATTCGATCGAATGCCATTGCCATGTACGTGGACCGTAGAAAGATATGGTGCCCATGCCCAGATTACGTGCACGTGGCCATCCATGGATGGAGAGGACGGAGGAGCTGCAGACGAGGATGGGATCTCGATGGACCGCAAGATTTGATCTCAGCTCGTACGAGCGAGAGCAATGAGCTGTGCACTGCACTGCACTGCACTGCATGCGAGTCTCTGTACGTACCATCTGCTCAGCTCTACTCGTAGCTGCTAGCTCTCGTACGGTTGCCGCCATTGATGGCCACGAAGATGCTGGAGTAGGAGTATGTTTCATTTATTCACTGCGGTGTGCGGGCGTACTGCGTGCAGTGCTGCTGGAGCTGGACCCTGCATTTGCATATAATACGCAGCTGGAATGATGGTGTTTAAATTCAAGCTCTCAAGTTTAGGGTGTCACGTGTAAGAGTTTGATAGTAATAATAAAATAAATTATAGAAGTCTTCACGGAACGAATTTACTAAGCCTAATTAAACCGTTATTAGCATATGTTTACCATAGCTTTATTGTAGCACCACATTATTAAATTCATAGACTAATTAGATTTAAAAAATTCGTCTCGCAAAGTAATCGTAATCTATGTAATTAATTATTTTTTTTCTATATTTAATACTATCTAAATATTTAATATGAAAGGGATTAAACTTCAGAGTACGAACAAGGCTGACTCGCTGCTGGTGCTCCGCTAGCGTAGCATCACATCACATCAATCTACCGACGCCACAGTAGATTCAGCATCAGGCTTCAGCGACTGGTGCTCATGCGTATTTGACAAATGTACTAGCATTATTCATCATCAGCCATGGTGATACTGTGTGTACGTGTGTTCATATTTACTAGCTTTAATTTCTTGCATGCACATATACTATTACTACAATTTTTTTTGGAAAGAGGCAAAAGCGTTACCGAATTTTTAGTAGACGAATAAAAGAAAAAGACATCGTTATTTACAGCAAATTTACGCGAAACAAAAACAACTCAACAACTAACAGCCTGTTCGGGAGGCCGTATCGTATCGTGGATTATTTACGGTTGGCTGATTTGGTGTGAGAGAAAAACACTGTTCCCGACTGAAAATTACGATCGTTTACGAGCAAGCAAACAGGCTGTAAGACATGAGGGCCAACTACTACGGCGCATGGGCACTATTACTACCATACAATGTAAAAAACTGTTCTTTTGTAATCCGATCATGCACGTTTTTTTTTCTTCTCTTTCAAGAGACGATCCATAATTTATTAGGAGATTAGCAACCGCGATGAGCCAGCCGTTTGTTTGTATACTTCACTAGCAATAATGTGCAATGAGGAGTTGAACGCTCCATGCACTTAACTAGTGCTGGAAAGAGAAGAGAGAAGCTCACTACACTGCAGCTAGCGATGTCTGAATTGAAGAAAATATATGTTGACATCAATGATTCTCACTCCTCGATGCTCTGAGGCCTTGATTAATTCCTCTCTCTAAAGTTTACTTCCTATCTCATCGAATATTTGGACATGTGTATAGAATATTAAATATAGACTAAAAATAACTAATTGCTCAATTTACGACTAATTTGTGAGACGAATCTTTTAAGCCTAATTAGTCCATGATTTGACAATGTGTGCTACAGTACACACATGTGCTAATGATGGATTAATTAGGCTTAATAAATTCGTCTCGTAGATTACTGACGGATTCTATAATTTATTTTTTTATTAGCATCAAACATCCCATACGACACCTCCATGTGACACCCAATGTAATATTCTAAAACTTTACACTCTGAATTTAAACAAGGCCTGAGTGTGTGAAGAGGAGAGGGGGGGGGGGGAATGAAAGAGTGAGAGCATGTGTCATTGTTTGCTTTTTTTAGTAGGTCCCATGTCGATGCTTAGACATTGCAGAATTCTATGATCAACACATTGATTGGCCACTGCGCCCTACTTCCCCATCGACGAGCTGGGATCTATGGTCAAGGATTGATTGAACGGATTGGGATCGAGGACGATATTGCCGGTGACTTGCATCGAGAGAGGAAGAGCTCGAGGGCCAGGGCTCCAACATCAAGGATCCTCCTCCCGCGATGGGATCCATCTTCTACACGGTCCAGGACATGCCACCGTGGCCATGGAGTTGAGAGAGGATATGTTATTCTAACGAGCCAAAAGTCGTCTAGCTCAGCTCTGCTCGGCAACTAACTCGAGTTGGCTCGTTTGGCTTGCGAGCTACAAGAGAAGAAAAAGAAAATAGCAATAAACAACATACAGTTTGTTCACCGATTCATCAATCCATCATGCACATGCAAAAGGAAACATGGGACCCAGTTTGGGGAGATGACTTAGGGTTTGTTGATGGGTCGATTTTTGTTGGGTTGATACTATGACCCCCTTTGGCATGGCTCATCCAAAACGGCTTCACCGGTGAAGCCACAAAAACTGGCTTTTCTCGGCTTCTAGTTCATTTTAACCCTGGCTTACAAAACGGCTTCACGCTAAAATGCCTTGATTTACGCAAAATAGATGAAGCCGAAGCCAGCATAAGCCGTGCCAAAGAGGCCCTATATGTTTTATTTGGCTCGTGAGCCGCTCATGAACCAGCTCGAGCCAGCTGGTTATTGTTAACAGGCTAAAAGCTGCACTTAGCTGATTAGAAAATCATAACGAGACGAGTCGAGTCGAGCGAACTGTCGAGCTTCAGAGTTTTTCAAACGTCCAGCACCCTAGGGCTTGTTCGGCAGGACTGAAAAATACTGTTTCGACTGATTATTGTGAGAGGAAAATACTGTTCTGGCATGACGTGAACAATGATTTTGTGAAGTGGCTAGCCAGCCGGTAATCAGCCAGCCAGCCAGCCGAACACGGCCCTAGTTATGGGGTATGAAATACCTTGCCATCAGGACATACGTACAAGTAGATGGACCGTCACTATATATTGTTTCTATTTTATTTATAATATAAAAGGTATATATATACACAGAATACGTGGTCCAGATGCATCTAGCTACATTATGTAAGTACTTGCCATGGTAGATACACGTACACATGTGACACTCCATGATGCGGCTGTCGCTGCAACGAAATCATTTTGCCCTTGTGTAAAATCACTACCACTGTTCGCCATTTATGGACCATATATGATACGATGTAAAAGGCAAAATGTTTTATAATTTAGGATAGAGGGTATATCAGTGCACATTGCCCGACCGTATTTCAGTAATACATAAGACATGGGAGACATGTGAATTCGTTCTAGGTTGACTAATCGATCCACGTGCATACCAAAATCTGTTAGTACGTGTATTCTAAGCTAAGTCACTAAGGTCAGGTTTGCATTGGGGTCAAAATAAGTTGCTAGCTGCTGAAAAAAATTCTAGACGATGGTTTAGTTAATTCAATTTATAGTTTATTCTGAATTCAACCACCATGCTTACAAATAAGCTATTATTACAACTTATAAAAATATAGCTGATCTAAACGGTGCCTAATCAAAACCACTCCATTCGGCCATAAATAAGCAAAAATTTAGGCAGTCTTAGCTGATCTCTTAAGTGAACTATTTCAACAACAACAAAGCCTTTTAGTCCAAAACAAGTTGAGGTAGACTAGAGTTGAAACTCAACATGAGCCCCTAGTCACGGTTCAGGTATGCCAATAGCTGTTTTTCAAGCACGGTGCATGTGAACGATGGAGCTCGGGTCCCCTCCCCCGCGTGCTGACATCAGCGCTCATGCAAAGTTAAAAAAACAAAACACTTATTTCAAAATGCTATAACTTCTAAACAGTGTATCTATTTTTATTTCTGTCTGTACGGCTGTGTTCTACGCGACGAGGCAAACAAAACTAGACTCCACTTGCATATGTTTCGAAGAATTTTTTTCTAGTACCAATTTATGTATATTAACTTGTAACATATAACTTATAACTTACAACTTATGTACACAAATTGTGCTTGATAACTTTTATGTATCTAAGTATTGGTATATGTTATAAGTTAATTCATTCCTTTGTATGTTAATAATTTTTATGTTTGTAAGTGTTGGCACAAGTTATATAGCTTAATCCATTCATTTGTGTTTAATAACTTTCTATAAATAAGTTATGTTTCATGACTCTTGAGTTTTTAAGTTTTTCGTATAAGTTATATGTATAAGTGAGTATATATAAGTTGCTACTAGGAAAAAAAATCTTCGAAACATATATAAATGGGTCTAGTTTTATTTATCTCGTCGCGTAGAACACACTGGTGTAGACGGAATTGAAAATGGATACACAGTTTATAAGTTATAGCAATTTAAAATAAATATTTCGCTGTTTCCCTGCCTGCATCAGCACTGATGTCATAGGCACCCTGCGGCCGTGCGCACATGCAAGCAGTGCCGCGCTGCCAAATAGGGTAATAGGTGGAAATTATTTTTTTCTCAAAAAAAAATTAAAAGCTGTCGGAATTTAGTTAGCTTGTTTCGCTATGGATGAGCGTTCGCGAATTATGGTTGTCGGGCCTCGACCTCATCCGAGCTCTGATGATTCAATAAAAGGCTACTTTTTTTTTCAAGGAAAAAGGCTACCTATTACTTAAAAAAATCACGTGGAAGTGGCACTAACCTTAAGCAGCCTGTTCGTTTTGTCTTATTCACTTGTATTTGGTTTATAATCCATAATCTAAATAGTATTTTTCTTTTACATCAATAAAGCCAGCAGTCCAGTAAGCCAATTCAGCCGAAACGAACGGACAATTGGATCGAGCCATCGTGCTTTTCAAGACTGAGCCTTGAACGATTGATTGCAGTCCATGCGTAGATCGAGGTTTGATGGGATGGGAAAACGGGTCAGACGGAGGTTTTATGGGAAGGAAGACGAGAGCTTAGGGTCTGGTCTGAAACTCGGGAAATATTTCCTGTTTCTGTATTTTTTCGGTGAAATTCTGCTGTGATGGTTGTGAAATTCCAAAAGCGTTCCAAATAAACTCTTACATGAGGTAAAAAGAAATTACAAGGGAGAAAAGAAAAAATAAAAAGGAAAATATAAACCACCCGTGTTCCTTACCCGGTCCGGCCGGTTGGTGCCGTGGTGGCCTCTCGCGGTCGCGGCCCCAAAGTCCCCCGCCCGCCGCCGCCGAAATAAAACCGGCGCACCTCTGTAGCACGCGCGAGCCATGCCGCAGGTGGCCACCCCTCTCCGCCTGCTCCTCCCCCTCTCCCAAACCCTAGCGTCGGCCCCCGAGCCTCTCCTCCACCTCTCGCGCCGCCTCCTCTCCTCCTGCCCCGCCTCATTCGGCCGCGCCGCCAGCCTCCGCGCCCTCGCCTACCGCCGCCGCCGGCACCCCGAACCTCGCCGCGGGAGCAGCACGCTCGGGAAGGCGCCCGCCAAGGAGGAGATGGACAAGGAGGTGGCGTTCAACAGGAAGCGGGCCGAGGGGAAGGACGGCGCGAAGCGCGGGAGCATGGAGCTCAAGACCCGCAGGCTCAACCCCGTCAACACCACCTGCTACGTGCAGGTGAGGGCCTCGCTGACTTGTGATTTCCCCCAGCGCTATATCTGTGGATTCATTCTGCTTACTTGGCGCCATTTTACCTCAACCGGCTTGTTCAAATTAGTATACTAGTTCGGGGTGTATTTGAGGAGAGATTGGACCAGACCATGCGTTCAGTTATAAATGCCGTGGATTAGTAGTCCCAGAGGTCACATTTGCGTCTGTTAGCTTAACATTTTTAGGCATGAACCAAGATGCAATCCCAAACTGATGGCATTGGAGGAGTAGATGTAGCATACAAAGAATCCAAACCATAAGCCTTTTATTATTTAGCTTTTTTTAAACAACTATCATTATTTAAAGTATAATATGTTGGATGGTGCCGATTTCACAAAATGAAGATACAGGATCAATGCACGTTACTAATAATTACCATATAAGTCCAGCAAAATCTCTGATATTATTGTATCATTTGTAAATCATGCATTCAATAATCCCAGCTGCTGGTTGTGGCCTTATGGAGTTGTCCCATTGGTAAATCATCACATTGGTTGCACCAAGCAATTAATGCGGGGCAATTTCTTCCCTTGAACTAGTTCATGAGAATTGGAACTGTTGTTGTTTTGGTTTTCATTCAGTCTCACACCCCTTTGTTCTTGCTGCGCAGATACTTGGTACAGGAATGGACACACAGGACACTTCACCTTCTATTTTACTCTTCTTTGACAAACAAAGGTTTATTTTTAATGCGGGCGAGGTATGTTCTGCCGTGATCTGGTTCTGAACAAGCTAATAATTGGTTGTTGCCTAAAAAATAGCAAATAATTGTAGTTAGCTGAAAAGAGAATTTTATTTCTTTCTCTTTTGTGAGGAAGACCGAAGTTGACTTGGGTAGAGGCAATAAAAGGAGACTTGAAAGGATGGAATATACCCAAAGACTTAGCCTTAGATAGGAGTGCTTGGAAAACAGCTATTCACGTGCTAATTGATTTGGTTGTTGCTCTAAAAATAGCAACTTGTTTGGGACTTAAAGAAAATAGAATTGTTGTTGTTGTTGTTGTCTCTTTTGTGAGGTATTGCAGAAAGGATTTTGAAAACCATGGTCTTATGCTGCGCTGCAGCGAATATAATATTCAACTTAAAGATCTGGAGAAAGTTCATCTTGCTTTTGCCATTTTGTGCTGATTAAACTCAAATCTTGCCATCTGACAGGGTCTTCAACGTTTCTGTACTGAACACAAGATAAAACTATCAAAGGTATGTTATTCGAACCCCCTCCACCATGGACAACACACTCACATTCATTGTCCTGTTTTTGAATTTTTTACATCCTAGTCTTATATTGTAACAAAACAATCCCTCGTTTCCCAGATTGACCATATCTTTTTGACACGCGTGTGCTCAGAAACTGCAGGGGGCCTTCCAGGTATTGTTTCTAAAACCTTCTTCTTTACCATCTAACACAATTAGTTTGGTTTGCTTGATGTAATGATATTACACCATCATGAGTTCATGACATAGCCTTTTGTATTATGGTATATTGTAGGCCTGGTGCTAACTCTAGCAGGAATTGGAGATGAGGGCATGTCGGTGAGTTCACATGGTTTCTTTTTCTGTGTTTTTGCTGTCAACAGATGCATTCATGCATCCAGTATTAAAAGTGTTTCAACCAACTAACTGTGGTCTTCTTCCTGCTAATTGGAAAACAGGTGAACATATGGGGACCATCTGATCTTGACTTTTTAGCTGGGGCGATGAGATCTTTTATCCCAAATAGAGCAATGCTTCACACACACAGCTTTGGTACTGACCAAAATGCATCTTCACCACAATCTAAAGACTCCATTATTATTCTTGATGATGAAGTAGTTCGGATATCTGCAATGTTTGTCAAACCAAGGTACCATAATGGAATTGGTAGTTCAAATGATAGTGACATGAAGCCTGGTGATACTGCTATAGTATATGCCTGTGAGTTGCCAGAAATTAAGGGAAAGTTTGACCCATCTAAGGCTGCTGCCCTTGGCCTTAGGGCTGGGCCCAAGTACCGTGAACTTCAACTTGGGAATTCTGTGCAGTCTGATCAATTTGATGAAATGGTTAGTCATGAATAAAACAATATTTGTTATGTTATTTTTGTAGTACCTTCTCTTTTTAATGAGGCTTTTGCCACCTAGGAGACCAATGCTGCCTTTTATTGACCTGGTGTTGTTGGATTTTTTGAGTCTGTTTAGCTTAATATTGCATTAGGATGACATGACATTAGATATTTTCTCTTTCCTAACTACACTATGGAAACATATGCTAGTTGTCCTTGGACTCGTTAATTTTACATGGCTATTTTAACAGAATAAGGCTTATCAGAAATTTTAATAGTAGTGTCACTTTTGATAATCCGCTACTTTATGATTATTTAAATGCTAGAATGTAAGTTTTTAGTATAAATTTGATGTTTGAACAACAATTGCATGCACCATTTATCTAGTTTGAGTTTCTTTTCTAAAGCTCGTTATGTTTTGTCAATTAATGTCTAGGTTCATCCAAGTGATGTTCTTGGTCCGTCAATTCCTGGACCAACTGTTCTTCTGGTGGATTGCCCCACACAGTATCATATGCCAGAACTTTTTTCACTGCAACCCCTTAGCTGCTTTTATGAAGATTCTCCAGAGCAAAGTGGCAAGAAAGTAAATTGCATAATCCACTTAGGTCCATCATCTGTGACTAGATCTGTTGACTATCAGAACTGGATGAAAAAATTTGGTGCAACACAACATATCATGGCAGGACATGAAATGTACGATTCAATTCCATTTTCCTTTTTTTGGATGAAGTCCATTCTGTGTATAGATTTCCTATGTCAGTTTGAACTGATTGGCACTGCATGCAAATCCAAAGTTAACTACTATGTTGCTGAATAAAAATGAGGTGAACAACTATGTTCATATATGTTAGTGACTACTGCTTCTTAGGGTTAAATTTTCCATAATGATATGGGAAAAATACATTGTATGCCACTGTTTAAGTTGTATTTTCAGCTTGTGCCACTGCTTTTTTGGCTGATTGGCCTTATGCCTTTTTTTCCGTTTTTTGATGCACGCAGTAAAAACATGGAAATTCCTATCTTGAAAGGTAGTGCAAGGATATCATCACGCCTCAACTTTGTATGCCCTCAGCTCTTCCCATCCTCTGGGTTTTGGTCTGTACAACCTCCAAATGATGTCATGGAGAATGATAAGGTAGGTTCCAGTAGCCTATATAATACCTTGAAGGTTGAATTACTGCTGTTTATAAAATATTTTGTTTTCCTTTCAGAATGCTTCATTGGAAGCCTGTGGAAGTGTGTCTGCGCAAAACCTACTAAAGGTAATTTTGTTCTTTCATCCTTGCTGTATCACACCTGTTATGTGATCATATATGTATTAATCTGGCGTTCTGATTGGGGCTTTGATGTCATTTTTTATTGAAATCTTGTTATTCAGCAAACCATTAAGACTGGGAAGGTAGAAGTAGAATGCATAGGTCCAATTGGGACTTCAAAATTGTTTGGATCTTTTATCATCATTGGTAGCATGTATTTGTAGACAATCTTTTACATAAAGTTGCATGTTCTTTATCAAAGAAGTAGTTGGGACCTTTGTTTTCTTGTTTTTGTTTTTGCACTAAATAAATTTCAAAGTCAATTCCCAGCATGTAATGTCTTTTACATTCTAATAATGATGTATAATAACATACAAGTAGGGCTATAGGGGAAGACTCTTCTTTCAGAGAGGAATTTAAAAAAAAACTGAGGGAACAAATGGGTGTGTTTTTTAAGTTTAACTTAATTTGGTTAAGTGCAATATAGGACTGAATATTACTATCCTTTTTCTTCAGTTTCACCTGCGTCCGTATGCTCAACTGGGTTTGGATAGAGCTTCTATTCCAAACTTGTTCACCTACAAGGATATTGTACAAGAGCTTGTATCTGAGATCCCAGAGGTTAGTGAAGTTCCTGAACAGGTTCGCCAATTCTGGCAAAATAATGTGAATGATAAAAATACACTACCACCAACTGGCAATCGTATGGTTGAAGAACCATGGATCAATCAAAAATCAGATAAGCTAGATGATGTCACTCCTTTTCAAGAAATTGTCTGGGGAAAGCATCCAAGGGACAGTCAGGAGACCCCTTGTTGTGTGGAGGATGCAACAAGGGAAGATATGGAGATCACTTTTTTGGGTACAGGTTCATCTCAGCCTTCAAAATACCGGAACGTAAGTTCCATATATATTAACTTATTTGCACAAGGAGGTATACTTCTGGACTGCGGTGAAGGAACTTTAGGACAACTGAAAAGGAGGTTAGTTCTTGCAGATCTTCTCATAATGCATAAACCTATATATTAATTATGTTCATGAAAGCATACTGTCTTTTGTAATAGATTTGGTGTAAATGGTGCCGATGAAGCTGTAAAAGGTTTGAGGTGTATTTGGATTTCCCATATTCATGCTGATCACCACACAGGGTTGGCTAGAATTCTTGCTCTAAGGTCTAAATTGTTAAGGGGGATGCCTCATAAACCCTTGCTTGTGATTGGACCAAGGCCACTTGAGAGATTCCTAAATGCATATTCAACGCTTGAAGATCTTGACATGCAGTTCCTAGACTGCAGGCATACTTTGAAGTCTAGTGTTGAGGCCATTCTCAGTGAAAATGATACTGAATCAGCCATACCTCAACTGGAGAACACAATGTTTGCCCCTGGAAGTAGAATGGAGAACTACAACAGGAAGCCTGCAAGTCCAAGGGATACCACAGCTCTTGCTAATTTCAAAGAAGTTCTACAGGAATCAGGTTTAGAGATTCTGTATAGTGTCCCTGTACTGCACTGTCCACAGGCATTTGGAGTTGTTTTCAGGGCCATGGAGAAAACAAACAGTGCTGGAAAGGTAATTCCAGGCTGGAAGGTTGTATATTCTGGCGACACACGACCATGTCCAGCTCTTATAGATGCATCCAGAGATGCCACAGTGCTAATACATGAGGTAAGCTGAAGAATTTGTAGTTTTGTCCTTGAGATATCCATATCATATATCTTGTTGCTTGAGATATCCATGTTATATTTCTTGCTGATATAAGTGGCATCATTGTTATGTCACAGCTTCGGCAGGAGGTTTGCAAAAGCTTCAATATATAATAGTTGTCCACACTGCTGTATGTGTTTCATGCTCTGACTAATCCTGGACCACAAGCACCATTGTACCCCAATAATTAATTAATCTTGCAGATATCGTATCATATTGTTAGATGCACAATGTTCTCTTGTACTAGCTAATGGTATTTCAATATATATGCCCTTAGCTGTCTTTGTAATACTGTATATTTTTTGTCAGGCAACATTTGAGGACAGTATGAAGGATGAAGCGATCGCGCGGAACCATAGTACAACCAAGGAGGCCATAGAAGTAGGCACATCGGCTGGAGCATACAGGATAATTCTGACCCACTTCAGCCAGCGATACCCAAAAATCCCAGTTATCGACGAGGTTGATATGAAGAAGACCTGCATCGCCTTTGACCTGATGAGCGTAAACCTTGCGGATCTGCCAGTTGTGCCCAAGGTTCTACCACACCTGAAGGTCCTGTTCAAGGACGAGCTGGTAGTTGACGAGGCCGATGAGATCCAAGAGGCTGCTGTGTACTGATATAGATAAAAGGATGTACATTAATTTTGATCGGCTTGTAGCTTAGCAACATTGTTTTTTACCTGAAGCTCCAATCCAATTGAATGAAGGCCGCACAGCCTTGTGAGGGAAGAAACTAGAGCAACTGCACGGGTGCGTCTGCATGGGTCAAATTGTTTTGGGAGGAACTGCCTGTCCATCCGGTGCAGGATAGAGTAGGGCTGTACCGTCGGTCTTTTTTATGTTTGCGTCGATTTTGGCAGTTTGTTTTGTTGGGTGAGTGTTGTGAGTTGAGTTGTGATCACAAAGATAATAAACCTGAGACCATTTGTAATAATTCTTCGATCGGAGGTTTTGTTTCTTATTTTGTTCCTTGACTCGGGGTTTTTACAGGGTCCGTTGGAAATGGTAATTCGTTCGTAACGCATGCAACACGCACACGTTACGTTTACCGTACTTCTGAAGATAATAAACCGTTTCGCTTTCCAACTTTTCTACATACAAAGCCTCAAATCTCAGTTGAAGTCAGAGGAAATTCAGTGAAATGTCAAACACAAAGTCAGCACCAATTCAGCCGGTTCACAAGGATTTCGTCTCCGGTTCATAAGGATTTCGTCTCCGGTACAAATGCAAACAGCTTGTCGTCGCAGTCGTATCGGTAGCATGGCACACCTAATTGTATATCCCGTCCAGGTCGCTCCTCCCGTGGGCTCTGATTCTGAAGAAAGCGAAACGGTTGTTGGTTGCACAGGCACAAGAGTGGCAAAGGGCAAAAGGCAGCCAGACCCTCGCGCCATCCTCTAGAACCTTCCACGGTCCACCTCCTCCCTGCCTTGGTTGCCTCCCTCTCGTGCCGCTCACGCCCGACCCTCCCCCCACGCCTCTCCTCGCCGACGAGCGGACCCGGTCCACGCCCCCCCAACCCCCCACCCCCTCCCTCCAGATCCCGCCCTCCGATCCGGCCGAGACCGTGGGTTCGGTCTCCCTCCGATCGGGGCGGCCATGGATCAGAGCCGGCGGGCGGTGGAGTCGTACTGGCGCTCGCGGATGGTGGACGGCGTCACGGCGGACGACGACAAGGTCGCGCCCGTCTACAAGCTCGAGGAGATCTGCCAGCTCCTGTGCGCCTCCGACGCCAGCATCGTCAAGGAGGTCGCCGACTTCGTCCTCAAGCGCCTTGACAACAAGAGCCCCCTCGTCAAGCAGAAGGTGGGTGCCCTGCCCCTGCCTCTGCCTCTGCGCCACACGGGATCGGATTCGCTTGCCTGGGTTGCCTTGCCTTGTTGAGGGCTATGCTGCTGGTGGGGCAGATCGTCCGACTGTTATTCCTTGCATCACCGGCGGCGGTGGCGTCGTGCTGCTCCCCGTAATTTGATCTGACCAATAGGAGTGACTTGAAAGGGGTGCTTGTGTTGCTTATCGTGGGATGATGCACAGGCTGATGTGGGAGCCGAATAGACAAGTGAAATGTTTGATTCTGCAGTCAACCAGGTGGTTAGCTGGGAGGGGGCATTTGGGGGCGTCTCATTCTCCAAGTTATGTGTCTTCTGGCTGCATGTTCAGTTGCTCAAGAGTTTGAGACAAACCAAAGAGTTTATTTAGCTTCAGAGGGGTGATTTGTTTGTATATCAATATAACATGCCCGAGTCAGGTTCGATTGAGCAATCACTTACGGTGCCTAGACGGGCCGTGTGATTGTTTTCTGGTGCACTGTCGAATAAATACTAGACTGGGCTGGGGATACCCATATGAATGGTATAGGCTATAGCAAATAGCAAATGTGATTGTTGGCATTAACAATGGTAAACTTGTGATTGTAGCTGAGATTGTTTCATGTGGAGAATTTGACTCGTGTAGATTAGGTGATTGACATTATAATTTGTCATCACTGCTGGTGGTTATCAGAAATAGAATTAGGTTTTGGAGATTTTGGTGATGCTGTGGTTGAATCTGAATTGCCTTCTCTATGTCCGTGATAAATGGGATAAGTTTTCCTGGATACATAACAGGACCTCTCTAGTGTGATCCAAATTATTCTCAAAGGACATAATAGAGTTTCAGTTTTTGTATCCACTGCATGTACCATGCTACCTTAATCGCATAAATTTGTATAATCATACAAATTTTAGAACCAGGACTGCCCAATTCTTTCTTTCTGTCATTATATGGTGGTTGCTGGGGGAGTGCATATGCTTGCAATGGGAATTGTACCTGCATTAACTTCCATCTTTTTTTCTTCATGTGCATTGACTGTTCAAAAAAAATTTTGGACAGTCTTCCAGCTCAATGGTATTTGACTCTGTCTATATTTGCTCTCCAGGCCTTACGGTTGATCAAATACGCAGTTGGAAAATCTGGTACTGATTTCAAGAGGGAGATGCAAAGGCACTCAGCGGCTATGCGCCAACTAGTTCATTACAAGGGCCACCCTGACCCCCTAAGAGGGGATGCCCTTAATAAGGCTGTTCGCGAAACTGCGAATGAGGCTATAGCTGCAATTTTCTCCACAGAGGACCCTAAACCTTCTGTCGCAACCGAAAGTCTTGGCAAGCGCATACAGGGCTTTGGAAATACTAATTACGAGCCATCTAGAGATGACAAGAAGTCTTTCCTTAGTGAATTTAGCGAGGTAGTGGGTATTGGAAGTGCATCCATCAAGCAGGGTTTGAGCAACTTTGCTGCAGCACATGCAATGATGATAAATGACAATGGTAGCACATACAAGAGCCCTAATCTCCGTAGATCTTTGACCACAGAATCTGAAAGATATGGTCGATATGATCCAAGTGAGATTCAAAGTGAGAGCCGTGCCTCATCTGGTGCTTCAAAGCATGCGGCCTCTGGTTCTTGGGGTCCAACTTCCAGTTCTGTACCAACTGATGATACTAGCTCAAGTCAACCAGGGATTAAGACTCGTGAAGAAAGACTTCTGGAGACAATAGTTACTGCAAGTGGTGTGCGATTGCAACCAACGCGAGATGCTTTGCAAATTTTTTTAACAGAAGCTTCCAAATTGGATGCAGTTGCCTTGAGCCGTGCGCTAGAGAACAAACTGAATTCTCCATTATGGCAGGTGAGTTTATGTGGCTCACTCATTTTTGTTTAGTTTCACCCCTCATGATCCTTATGCACAGTTAGTCAGTTAACATATAGTATGTCAAAACTAGTTCCATGTCATGGTACCTAACGCTCCTGAAAGCGGTGTTAAATAAATTTATCTTGTGTTGTTGCTTGAAGTTTTACATGTATGCACTTGTGAATTTCGATTAAATGCTACTGTGGGAATTCTCAGAAGTGCAATAAGCTATTCAGAAGTTTATAATAACATTTTAAGATATTGCAATGTCAAAGGGAAAACATTGGGCAGAAGAGAAATATGCATTATGCAGTATCTTCACTCTGGACAGATGGAATAGATCACTATGACTGTTGATGATGTTATACTATGCTTTTGTATTATGCTATTAGTGGTTTAATAGAGTTCATGGAGAAACAGCATTGTGAACTTAATGTTCAGTTTTCAATGTAGTTGCCATAATCTATAACTGAACAGATGTACAAAAGGTGTTGTTGCTTGACTTATTTACATGAAAACAAAGAATACTATGCAAGCATGAGTACTGTTGCATTGCAGTTCATGATATGTTTAGAGTATTTATCATACAGGCTGGCAGATTAATCATGATATTACATATTAGGCAGCCAGGAGCAGTCATTAAATTTGTAAGTGGTGTTGTCTGGTTTGTTTGCCTTGCAGCTGGTATTTGTGAGTGGGTTTAGTTGTCCTTGACACATAGTTTGTTCACTTTGTTTCAATATTTTTCACACACTATTCTTTCACAGCTTTTACTTGTTGGCTCATATGTATTCATGTTTGTTTGCTTTTTGTTAACCAAAGCATTTCCAGTAAGCTTTTTCAATTCTTCACTAGTATTCAATGTATTTGTGTACTTCTCAGGTTCGCATGAAGGCTATTTGTGTGTTGGAAGCCATTGTAAGGAAACAAGATACTGATCCTTATTCTATCATCGCTTCATATTTCATCGAGAACACAGCTTCTGTTGTTAAATGCTCTGAGCTGCCACAGGTTTCTCTCAGAGAGAAGGCCTCAAAGGTGAGTCTGCTTGAAAAACTGGTTATGTAGAATACTTCTGCATGCTACTTGTCCATCATTAAAGAAAAAAGAAAATAACTTACCTTCTGTTTCCTTGAAACTACAGTTGAGCTCATAGTTTCTATTTTATATTTTTAGACACTATTTCTGTGTGAAAACTTGTTTCTATTGCCAATCATTGGCATGTAATAAGATATGTGTTAATTTTCTTAGGTCTTGAATATGCTAATTGGGGAACAGCTTACTGGAACCACAGCAACAAAAGCTGCAATGCCCACACCTGTTCAGATGCCTGATTTGATTGATACAGGTGATCAAGATGATCTAGCGACAAGTTCTGGACAGGAAAGCAATGAACAGAATACTGGGAACAATGCATATGTTTCTTCAGTTGATGATTTGCTTGGTGGTGAACCTATTGCTGATAGTAATGGAAGCGATCCATTTGCAGATGTATCATTCCATGAGGCTGAGACTAAGGAGACTAATGATCTGTTCTCAGGGTTGACAGTAGAAGAGAAATCATCAGTTACCATGCACGATAGTTCTTCATCAAACAAAAATGAATTACCAGATATCTTTGGCAACGCCCCTGATTCTTTCATCCAAGCTAGTGTTACTGACCAAGGAACTGTCAATGATTTGATGGCTGGTTTGAACCTTAATGGAACAGGCCAGGCTCAGTCTGCAGTTAAAGCAGAGCCCAATAGCAACTTCAGTGGTTCACAGTTCTTTGATACAAACAATGAGACCAGCCATGTGGCAAGTGCTGCAGCACTGAATGGCATTCTTGGTCAAAACTCATTTTACCAACAGCAGCAGACTCCCTTGCAGTACAGCTTCCCTCAACATGTGATGCTCAATCAATCATTTCCTGGGCAACAATTAAATTATGGTGCCATGGGGATTCTTCTTGCTCAGCAGCAGCAGTTACTGCAAAATTTTGGAAATTTCAATGCTGGACTTGGGAATTCTTCTTTCAATTCGATGAACAGTGGAAATGCATCTGTGCTTCCAGATATTTTCAATTCAAGTAATCAACCTCAAAATCATGTTGCAGTGATGAGCAGTTCGAAGAAAGATGACACTAAAGCTTTTGATTTTGTTTCGGTATGTATTTCTATCTAGTAATTAGTTTCTTGTCCTGCATTTATTTACAACTAAAAATAAATTTAGGATATTCTAACATTTTTTATGCATAGTATCTAATTAAGAATTCAATGATTTGTAAGCTAGTAGTAGGTTTATATAAATTGGGCGCTCAAGGTTCTTTGAAACAAGTAGGCTTTTGAAGTGGATGTATTTCTCGTTGAAATTTCAAACTCGCTTCACAACCTCCTAGGCTTTTGGAAGTAGATGGCTCATGGCTGTGTGGAGTGTGGACGAAGAGAGAGCCTAAATATAGGCCTGTGTGGACCTTGGATGTTGACAGGGAAAAAGTATGATTGTTTAGGGGAAAATGTGCCTGATACTTGACACACTGTGGTTGGGTACATGATTTCTGTAAAGGGCGTACCCAGTGCAGAGAGCTCCCGCTCTGTGCGGGGTCTAGGGAAGGGTGTCAGTGGCAAGCCTTACCCTTGCCTGTGCAATGCGAGGAGACCGCGACTCGAACCCGGGACCTTCCGGTCACAGGTGGTAAGACTCTACCGCTTGCACCAGGCCCGTCCTTCAAGGGTACAGCTGTGTAGAACTGTAGTTGGAAACTAACAAAGAATAATGTTAGTTATCTGCATCATCACCTGTAGACCTGTGAGTGAATGAACATCCATATTTGATCAACCCAGTCCAAAATGAGTCCAACTAAAGTGAGACACCTATCCAATCCAAACCACTATGTTGTGCGGAACATCAATCCAGTCCATCGCCATGTCAATCCAATTCAGTCCAATCATCCAAATAATTCCTGTGAGCGACTGAGCGCTAGATAATCTGCCATGAGGGAAACTGATACAGCACGAACTGCGGATGCTAGATAATCGTCCTTGTGGCAACCAAGGACTACGGCATAGAGTTGTATAGCTCACCAGCTAGTTATTTTGTATGCTAGGCAAATCTGAAAGCACAAACCTTAATTAGCAGGGTCCATACACATATCACAATACTAATGTCTGAGAATACCTTCTTGCTATTCTCACTGAATACACTACTATCTTCTGCTCACCCACACTAGATAGCATTCAAATATAAAATAAAACTCTCCCAAGTTCACAGGCAGGTAGCATGTTGACCTGACAAAAGTACACAACATAAACCTACAACCAAAATTCTCCTAGCTAGGCATTAAGCTTATAAAGACTATAGTCACTATACTAAATAGCAAGATGAAGAAAAGCTGCTGCATCATTTGCAGATTCGAGTTGGTATCAGGATTCAGGACAAAGCTAAATATCAGTCATGAATTGATGTTGCAAAATATCGATATACGTGAAAAGAAGACATACGAGAAAAGAATGTGTATATTATCAGAGTGAAGTTGCAAAGTATATATAATAACTTTTGTGTTGCCCTGCTACTTCAATTTTCACTCCTAAGTCATTTTTTGGCTTACTCATACAATTTAGGGACAATTGTCTAGCGGACACCGAAAGTGGAGGTCGTTGGCTGGCGGACACCCAAAATTGAGCCATTTGCTGGAAGACAGCTGCTGGACACCGCGCCCCTTATTTTATTCATTTCCAACCAGTGGAAATGAATAAAATAAGGGGCGCGGTGTCTAGCAGCATAATTATAAGTAACGAGAGTGTCTTCCAGCAAATGGCTCTATTTTGGGTGTCCGCCAGCCAACGACCTCCACTTTGGGTGTCCGGTAGACAATTTTCCCTATAGTTTATTTATATGTCTGTTCATGTGCAATCTAGCACATATACTTTGAAGGAAGAATCTTTTTGTGTTAAAAAGCCTTTGACTACATAGTATCACAAAAGATTTCCAGAGAATATTCATATAACTAGAGGAGAGAGACCAATGTATAGTTCTGATGCTACCAAGAGAAGGTTCAGAAATTGCAATGCTCTGTGTAGTATGAGAAATGGCAACAATGCAGTTTTAGTACTGCTTACAAAATACTGATGCAGTCCTTCAGGAGATATGAGAAGACTGGTCTGAATTCCCTATTCTAACTTGTTTACAAAATATTGTTCTTAATAAATACAAACTAGCAAAAGTTGGCAGTCCAACAACATCAAGTATATCTACATGCAGGATCTCCCATGCCTAGACAAGAAGTTTGATACCTTCCAGGATCTCCCATCCCTAGACAAGAAATTCAATGTCTTCAATCCTCAAACAGGGCACTAAAAAACGCATGCTTTGTTGATACTGTACTGCCATCAGTCATACATTTGCATACAACCAATCGATTTCTGTGAATCCTTGCTTCCCTGGGCAGTCAATAAATTCGCTGAAGAAAACAGAACATACAAACCCAACCCACACCTCTGTTCATAACTTACATGTGGGTGGTAGGGTAACCAAATACACACAAATCAGGCAGCCCTAGTACTCCGAGTTGCTAGTAATAATCTGCGCATGCTGGTTATTAAGGAATCACAGCCCTAGTACTGAGTTGCTAGTAATAATCTTCACATGTCGTTCAATGGTAAGGTTACTTGCTCATAGAACTGTTACAATTCTTGCTGTTCCATTGCCTGTGTCAGTCTTTGCTGCATTTCATTTTATTCTGCAAATGTAGGTCAAATCTTATTAGGAAACTAGTCTTTGTTTGAGCGACCTTGTCTATATGTTAAATCTGCATGACTAACGATGGTAATCCTGCAACTATTTTTCCTAAAATCTTGGCTTTCCCTTTTCTTCAGGATCACCTTGCAGCAGCACGTGGTTCAAGAAAGTGAACCAGGAAGCAGTGAGCATGTCCAGATGCTGGCAAGAGCTCAAGTGCTTGATGGACACAAAAGCTGGGAATCAAAAAGCTGCATCTCGTCACAGCCTCGCAGATTGGCTGCATTATTCACACGGCTGGTTTGAACAGATGTGAAGGAAGGGTTGTTCCATACGGTTGGAAGACGAGATGTTGTGTTGTACTATGTATTTAGACAAAGACTGTTTTTTTACGCTGAAAAATAAATTGCATCTTCCAACTTTCCTTATGTTCTGCCCTTTTCTCTCCTTTTTTCAAGAAAAAAAAAGTCAGACAGTATTTGTTACCTGCAGGTTTTATATATATTTTTTCTGTATACAAGTACATGGAGGATGTTTTTTTGTGGCAATTGTAAAGCTTTGGAACATGAATAAGGGGGTGCAATATGATATGAGCTGCTACATGATCTTTGCAATGCTGCCTCGTGATATCCCTCGTGTATGTATGTTTACTCTCTATTCCTCGTGCATGTATGCGTACTCCCCGTTCCTCTTTGTTGCTTTGCATGTGCTAGACTAGTTTCTTTGGCCATAGTCACAGGTCTTTATAGTTGTTATAAGGTGAAAGGATCAAGATGCTTAAGAGGAAGATAAATTGGGTTATAATTCTAAATTTCTTTCAATAATTAAGCCCTATACTTAACATATTTTTCATTCTCTTGTGACTAGAAGTGTTTTTATTCTTCTACCGCACAAAAGTTTTACATCCTAAGTTTTAATTCTACTCTAGTATGGCAATTTAAAAAAGTAAAGACATGAATTGAATTGTTCAAATATAAATGCTCAAAGTAAAGAGAGAGAGAGGAACGCGGCGATGCTTTTCTGAGGTATCGGAGTCGTCACTCCCCACTAGCCCTTATTGGAGCATCCGCACAAGGGTGTAGCTCTCCCTTGATCCACGCAAGGATCAAGTGCTCTCTACGGGCTGATTTTTTGACACTCTGTCACAGTGAATCGTCTACAACCACTCACACCATGACTTGGGTCATCCACAAGCTCCGTCGGATGATCATCAAGCTTCCAATCACTACCGAGCCATCTAGGTGATGACGATCATCAAGAGTAACAAGCACAAACTCTCACTTGACCAAGAGAAGCCTAATGAGAAAGGTGGATGCACACTTGCTACTCCCTTATACACTAATGAGGTCCTTAATATTGGATTATCAAATCTCAATCACCCTACTAGGCTCTTGCTCTCCCTTGCACTCTAAAGGTGTTTCTCAGCTGAACAAATGGGCAAGAGAGCTCAATTAGACGAGTAGGATATGTATTTATACCCCCATTCAAAACATAACGGTTGTGGTTCAACTCAACAATTTTCAGGGTGACCGGACACGCAGGTCCATGTGACCGGACGTGCCGGTCAGTAGCCAACGGCTACGTGGTGTCACCCTGTTAGAGAGGGCCATTGGAGTGATCGGACGCAGAGGAGCGTCCGATCCTCCTGGACCTAATGCGTCCGGACCTTAAATTTCCTCTCTGGAACCTTACTAATGTTGACCAGACGCTGCAAACATAGCGTCCGATCATTCACTGTTCCGCGTCTGATCCTTCATCAACATTGAGACCTAGCTGCTACAGTTGGTCGGCACCAGCGCGTCCGGCCCCAATCAATGCACAGCATCCGGTCTCTCCTCGGCTTCTGCTGTGTGCGCTGAACATTGACCGGACGTAGCACCTGTGAGTCCGATCAACACTAAATTAGCGTCTGGTCAATCATTTGACTCTCTATTTACTTCCAATTTAAAATCCTTTGTGAATAAATTTGACTCCAATCGATCTTAGGGCTATTCCTGAGCTACCTAGTGCTAAGTTTGACAAGTGTGTACCACACCTAACCTATTAGACTCACCTAGGTCAAGCTACTAGTTCATACCCCCTTAATAGTACAGCCAAAGGAAAAATAAAGTCCTAAACTACTCTAAGTGTCTCTCAACATCAAACGACACTTAGAACTAGTCCATCCTTAACCTTGTCGTCCATCATTCGAAAACCGAAACGATTTCCATCAATAGGGGCATGAAAACCATAATTGCCCAAACAATCACCATGACCATGACCTAACTCAAGTTGCCTCTACAAAACACACGTTAGTCACAGTAATCTCATATCGTCATTAATCACCGAAACCCAACTAGAGGCCTAGATGCTTTCAATCTCTCCTTTTTTGGTGATTGATGACAACACAACCTCGAGCATGTATAGGATATGAGTGAGGTTTTCAACATGCTTGGTTCATATAAGCAATTGACAATAAGAACAAAAGAGAGTTTGGTATGCTTATCTGATCCAAGCCAACGCAATGTACTCACAAGATATGAAATAAACATGAGTACACAAAGTAAAGCTCATTTGTATCGGAGTAAAACGCGGAAGCAAAGCAAATGAGCATAACGAAATGACATTACATATTATCAAAGTAGAGAGGACACATATCACATAAGTTCCACAATCACACATATAACACAATGCATGAGAGTAAACGTGAATGCATGAAGTATCACACAAAAAAATTGAGTCCATCTCGCACGCTCCCTCTAAATCTAACATACTCACTCTCTCTCCCCCTTTGGCGTCAAGCACCAAAACCTAAGGGTCGGATGGCGGGTCAGGAGCAGACGAGTCAGGCGCTACTCACTCCATCTCCCCCTTTGGCGTCAAGCACCAAAACCTAAGGGTCGGATGGCGGGTCAGGAGCAGACGAGTCAGGCGCTGAGGTGCGGTGAGAGATCTGAAACTGAGCTGCATCATCCTCGGACCCTGAACTCTGAGCAGTCGGACCCTCTGTCACTGGAAGTGGAGGTGAAGCGGTCTGGGTCTGCTCAGTGGACTCGGTGGCTAGGTCAGCCTATGGCTCAAAGGGTGTCATTATAGGAAGTGGAGCCAGAACTGCCGCTGTCGCTGTCGCTGAGACCTCAAGAGTGGGAGTGACTGTCAGAGGCGGCTCGGACGAAGCAACAGAGGACGAGATTGTCTCAGTAGTCCTGATGACTAGAGCGGCTGTGGTAGGAGCAAGGACTCGAAACTCAGGCAGTGTAGGCTATCCTATGAGCTCACTGAAAGTAGCACCCAAACTCCTAGAGACAGGGATGTCCATCACTAGCACTAACGTGGACTGAGTGGGAGTGAAGCCCGTGACTATAGGAGTGAAGTGCTGAGCCTGCTCTGTCCTTGGTGAAGCGAACCACTGAGACACCTGCTTGGTAGGTGAGGCAAACTATGCAGTCGGCTGTCCCTAACTCTGAAGCCCACTGGGCTATATAGCTGGAGTCAGTGGGTAGTAGTAGCAGACTGACCGAGCTACAATGTGGGCTGGTGAGGAGCAATCCCTGTGGCAGAAAAGACATGCTGCATGAACCTAAGAAGTTGCTGCTGAATGATTAACTGCTGCTGCATGGCGTGCTGCTACTGTTGGAACTAATCCTGTCGTGCCTGCACCTGAGCAATGGCAGCTGCTGTCTCCTGTGCCTGACGAGCCTTGTCCTGCCACATGCGCTCAAGTATAGCTAGCAAGGTGGAGTCCGTCTGTGGCGGCTGTGGCTGTGGTGGAGCTAAGCTAGAGCCACCGGCCTCTCTGTCGTGTGCACATGGTGGCATATGCGGGATAGGCTGGTAGTTCTCATCTGAGCTGTCAGTCGGGTCGCTCTCAACCACATCCTCTTGCTGTAACTCTAGCTGCTCCAGCTCTATCTCAGCAATGTCCCTGACGGCCTCGTCCTGCTCAGCTGTAGTCTCTGGCACATCTAGTCTACGGCTCGACTGCCTAGGAGTCCTCCCACGACTGTGATGTAACAGCTGGCTCATATCATACTATGGGAACTCTGTAGTAGCACCACTCAACTCAGCTACTGTCTCTAGGGACATCTGTGAAACTTCCTGCCTAATAAGAAATGTGATCCAGTGAGCATATGGCAACTGATGATGGCCTCTAAAACCCTATGCTAAGGTATCCTCCATCTATGAAATCATCACATCCCAAATGTCAAACACTGTCTGGGAGACCAAGTGGTGGACTAGCCAAAGCTGAATACGAGTCAGTCCCTCTCGATAGCCACTCCTCAGGAGCAAAGACCTCCTAATGATTGCATCAAGGATATGAGCTGTAGGTGTAAGGTCACGCGATGTCCGGTTCAATCCCTCTCCAAACGGCTCAGCGAAGCAAGCCCTGACCAAGTCTGTAGGTGATACTAGTCCGCCGTGAGGGTGTCTCAGTGGCTTTGCCTCTCCATAACAGATCTCGTGAATCCGAATAGGAGAGTCTAGAATCCTCAATATCTCTCTAGCCCTCTGGTTCTGTAGCCTATAGTCACGGCCTCTGAAGGCAAAGTGAATGAACATGTGCCTTGGGTCAATCCACAAGGAAGCATAAAACGCTCTAACCTATGACGAAACATACCGACCAATCTGTCCTATAAGAT